CTACTGGCATCTCGTCTTCAGTCACTTTCCTTCCGCTGTAATGTAGCTGTGCCTTTTCTATAAATATTTTCATCGTAAATGTTGTGGTGAGCTGTTCTCCTTGGTAACAAAAGTTAACGAATTTAAGCGCAGTGACTAGATTGGCAGCTAGGTCTCATCATTTGACATTTGAAATTGATAGATTTAATCATAACAGTTTATGCTAACAGATTCTCCTCTCTTTTGGAACTCTCTTCCGGATTCGTTCTTTCCAGTCAACTTTTATCTTCAATAATATGCAATGTTATCGGTCCTCAACTGGCATCTCGGCTTCAGTCACTTCCTCCCGCAGGAACGTAGCTTCTATGATGAGCTTTCCTCTTTTGTAGATATTCTTTTTGGTTCCATTTCTATCCCAACTCCGGACAAATTGTACACGAGAGAACTAGTTAGGACTACATAGAGACTTTGTGGTATTATGGTGGCTGTAGTTAGAATGGTAAGAAAGTGTCCTATTGGTGTAAGTAATATTGTGCTATGTTTGGGTCAGTAATCGTGGTTAGCTAAGATTAAGATAAGACAGATTGAAGACAAGCCTTCCCTATCTTCCTTTTGGCCTTGTGCCACATTTTTGTATTACAACAAAATAAATATTAATTTCCTCTGTGGTAACTTGACTTTATGAATTTAATCTATCTATCTATCTATCTATCTATCTATCTATCTATCTATCTATCTATCTATCTCAGTTTGTTCATATCTATCTATCTATCTATCTCCGTCTGTTCATATCTATCTATCTATCTATCTATCTATCTATCTCAGTCTGTTCATATCTATCTATCTATCTATCTATCTATCTCAGTCTGTTCGTATCTATCTCAGTCTGTTCGTATCTATCTATCTATCTATCTCAGTCTGTTCATATCTATCTATCTATCTATCTATCTATCTATCTCAGTCTGTTCGTATCTATCTCACTCTGTTCGTATCTATCTATCTATCTATCTATCTATCTATCTATCTATCTATCTATCTATCTATGCCACATCTGGTCTGGTGCTGCTGCTCTCTATATATTGATTCTTGGTAAAAAAAAAAATCCAAAGAAGAATCTTCAATACTATTGACCCTGAAATAAATGACAAACGCAGGAATGAAATATAGCAAATAAATGTATTGACGTAATAATACAATTGGTAATACGGTTAGTAGATCCAGAAATGCGGTTAGTAGCAATAATAATATATATACAGTCTGGGAAATTCAGTATCGAAGTAGGATTTCCTTCTGAGTCTACGTGCTCGCAACTGTGACTCCTACAAACCGGTTACCTCACACTCTCACTCTCTTGCTCCCGGGTATTCACCGGCAGCAGTACAAGTACACACTGGGCGAGTCCACTTGTATGAAAAAGGAGTGGACCCCATAACAATTTCCTTAATAATATTCTTTTTTTTTTTTCTCATTTCATTTCACTCTCAGTAATCATTTGCTTTTTAGTGACTTTATGTCCTTGCTTGGGGTGAAATGATTACCAAAATCAAGAAAATTCGTTGGGTTATGCTGATTTCCTCTGTTCTCTTGCCTTCACTACGCCTTGTGAGTGTTTAATTCTTCAAACCCTTTTCCCTTAATAGGTGCTTTAGATATTTCAACTGTATTAATATTTTAATGTTATGTATATAATTTGTTCAGGTTTTCCAGAAAACTTTGCCGTTGCTCACTTGTTTAGTCCATTGCATTCTCAGTATCCTACTGTAGCACAGCATTTCTATCGCCTCAAGTCTCTTTTTCATCTATGAAGAGAGTGTTCAATATTCACTAGCATAAAGTCTGATTGATATTGGAAAAGAGTTCAGTGATTTTTTTTTTTTTAATTTTTTTTTTTGCTTTTTACCAAGTTCTTTCTATTTCTTAATACTTTGCTTAGCTTTTGGAAGGCTTCTTTCGCTATTTCATTGTGCCTTCGGATTTCAATGTCGCACTTTCCGTCTTCTGTTAAAATGCTTTATATTTCGATTGTTGTACTTGACATTATAAAAAAGATTAATGGTAACGGTATACGCACTCTGTGAAAAGTTTACATAAATGTTGTTTCAATGTCCTTTTGTTGGTAGATCTTCGTCCATGTGGCGTGTCCCTTCAGGACGTAGATTAACATGGCTCTCCACAGTTCCCTGTCATTTTTAGCTATTCATATATCGTGTATTTTCGTTATCACTCCTAAATCTTGTTCCACTATCTAATTACTGAACATAATAATCCAGTCCTCTTTTCTTGGTTTCCTCTTTGTAATACTTTGCTTAGCTTTTGGAAGGCATCTTCTGCTATCCCAATTTGCCTTCGAATTTTGGTGTCGCATTGTCCGTTCTCTGTCAAAACTCTTTCCATATCTGTCTATATCTCTGAGATGAGATATTATGATAACTTACATTATGTACATTATTCGGACTCTAAGCTCTGGTAAAAATGAAATAATAACAATACAAATTGTAATATGAGCACAGGTAAAAGATTGGTGCTGATATATTAGGTTTATAAGTCCCCAAAATTCATAAACAAATGTCCACAATGACACATGGCCCACTGGATAAAGTTGTTGGTTAGATCCATGGATTAAACCCAAAGTCTCGTGAATTTAATACAAGGTCACATTAAAAAAAAAAAAACAAATTTGGAGAGCTGAGTTAAAGGGAGACATTCGGAAGAGGCATGGAACGAAATAATGGGTTCAATTCGAAATTCCAATCACCTGAAGAATGCCGGGGCGTAGAAAGGCCGAAAAGTTTTGAATATGCAATACAGATGACGATAACATTACGATTAATGTAAATAATACAAGTAATCCTATTACCTGAACTCAGAGATATAGATAGAGAAATATGACATAAAGGCCGGAGTGTACAACGGCCGAAAAGTTGTGAATATGGCAATGAAGATGAGGATAACAGTCCGAAGAATGTAAATAAAGCAAGTAATCATAATGCCTCATCTCAGAGATATAGACAGAGAAATATGACAGAAAGGCCGGAGAGTACAACGGCCGAAACGTTGTGAATATGGCAATGAAGATGAGGATAAAATCCGAATAATGTAAATAATGCAAGTCAGAGATATAGACAGAGATAAAGACAGAGAAAAATAACATAAAGGCCGGAGAGTACAACGGCCGAAATGTTGTGAATATGGCAAATAATCATAATACCTCATCTAAGAGATATAGACAGAGATATAGACAGAGATATATGACATAAAGGCCGGAGAGTACAACGGCCGAAAAGTTGTTAATATGGCTATGAAGATAAGGATAAAAGTCCGAATAATATAAATAATGCAACGTTCCATATGTTTGAACTTTTGTAATTGTTTCATTTCCATGACTGCAATTCGTCGTTCGCAAATTGCGCTTTTCTTTCTCTGAGACAAATTATTTACATTATTCTAAACATTATTCAAACAAATGTTTATGTTAATATCTACATGTCTGAGTTGTTGAATTGTATTGTTTATGTTATTCCGTACATCATCCAAGCAAATAGATTTATAACGTTCAGCTGCATGGCGGAAACGAAGAATTTGTATACGGCGGCATATTTTGCCATTATTGTATTCGACGCTATTGTTTATCATAGACACTTCCGATCACCTATTTTAATCTTTCATCAATGTTTCTTTCCTTTCCTTTCTTTCTTTCCTTTTCTTTTATTCTTTCTTTTTTATTCTTTATTTTTGACTTCTCCATGATTCAATGCATTTCTACCTTTCTCGTTCACATTCTCTCTTTCTTTCTTTCTTTCTTTTTCTTTTATTCTTTCTTTCTTTCTTTTTCTTTTATTCTTTCTTTCTTTCTTTTTATTCTTTCTTTTTAACTTCACCGTGATTCAATGCATTTCTACCTTTCTCGTTCATTCTCTTTCTTTCTTTCTTTTTCTTTTTATTCTTTCTTTTCTTTCTTTTTTTTCTTTTTATTCTTTCTTTCTTTCTTATTCTTTCTTTTTAACTTCACCATGATTCAATGCATTTCTACCTTTCTCGTTCACATTCTCTCTTTCTTTCTTTCTTTTTCTTTTATTCTTTCTTTCTTTCTTTTTCTTTTATTCTTTCTTTCTTTCTTATTCTTTCTTTTTAACTTCACCGTGATTCAATGCATTTCTACCTTTCTCGTTCACATTCTCTCTTTCTTTCTTTCTTTTTCTTTTATTCTTTCTTTCTTTCTTTTTCTTTTATTCTTTCTTTCTTTTTATTCTTTTTTTTTAACTTCACCATGATTCAATGCATTTTACCTTTCTCGTTCACATTGCTTCTTTCTTCCTTTCTTTTCTTTTCTTCTTTCTTTCTTATTCTTTCTTTTTAACTTCACCATGATTCAATGCATTTCTACCTTTCTCGTTCATATTCTTTCTTTCTTTTTTCTTTTTCTTTTATTCTTTCTTTCTTTTTTTTCTTTTATTCTTTCTTTCTTTCTTTTTTTTTTTATTCTTTCTTTTTTTCTTATTCTTTCTTTTTAACTTCACCATGATTCAATGCATTTTTACCTTTCTCGTTCACATTCTCTCTTTCTTTTTTTCTTTTTCTTTTTATTCTTTCTTTCTTTCTTATTCTTTCTTTTTAACTTCACCGTGATTCAATGCATTTCTACCTTTCTCGTTCACATTCTCTCTTTCTTTCTTTCTTTTCTTTTATTCTTTCTTTTCTTTCTTTTTTTTTTTATTCTTTTCTTTCTTTCTTTTCTTTTTTATTCTTTCTTTGTTTCTTTTTCTATTATTCTTTCTTTCTTATTCTTTCTTTTTAACTTCACCATGATTCAATGCATTTATACCTTTCTCGTTCACATTCTCCCTTTCTTTCTTTCTTTTTCTTTTATTCTTTCTTTCTTTCTTATTCTTTCTTTTTAACTTCACCATGATTCAATGCATTTCTACCTTTCTCGCTTTATTTTTCTTTCTTTCTCTTTTATTTATTTTCTTATAATTTAAACCATTTCTACGTTTCTTTTCCTTTTTATTTCCACAAATTTGATGGCTTCCATCTCTCCTTGTCTTTTTTTTTTCTTCTTTTTTAATTTTTGCAATTTAGTGTATTTTACCTTTCTCGTTCACATTGCTTCTTTCTTTCCTTTTCTTTTCTTTTCTTCTTCTTTCTTATTCTTTCTTTTTTTTCTTCACCATGATTCAATGCATTTTACCTTTCTCGTTCATATTCTTTCTTTTTCTTTTTTTCTTTTTTTTTATTCTTTCTTTTCTTTTTTTTTCTTTTTATTATTTTCTTTCTTTTCTTTTCTTTTTATTCTTTCTTTTCTTTCTTATTCTTTCTTTTTCTTCACCATGATTCAATGCATTTTCTACCTTTTCGTTTTCTTCTTTCTTTTTTTTTTTTTCTTTTTTCTTCTTTCTTTTTCTTTTATTCTTTCTTTTTATTTTTCTTTTTTTATCTTCACCATGATTCAATGCATTTCTACCTTTTCTCGTTCACATTCTCTCTTTCTTTCTTTTCTTTTCTTTTATTCTTTCTTTCTTTCTTTTTTCTTTTTTATTCTTTCTTTCTTTCTTATTCTTTTCTTTTTAACTTTTGATTCAATGCATTTTACCTTTCTCGTTTTCATTTTTTTGTTTCTTTCTCCCCCTATTTATTTTCTTTTATAATTTAAACCATTTCTACGTTTCTACCAAGTTTTGTTTTTTATTCCCACAAAAATAAATGCATTTCTCCTTGTCTTTTACTTTTTTTTTTTAAATTTTTCCCGCAATTTATCGCATTTCTACCTTTCTCGTTCACGTTCTTTCTTTCTTTCTTTTTTTATTTATTTATTTTTCTCACAATTTAATTTAGGTACCTCCACGAAAACGCTTAAAAATCTCAGCATACCCTGATGTAAACATGCTCTAAACGTAATGAAAACATAGTTTTAGCGTCAAAATCGTTATGTTATTATTAGGCGGAAGGATCAAAGTATTTTTTTTAATCATTCAATAAAATTGTTTACTTCTTTTGAGAACATTCAAAATTTTGATTAAAAAAATGGTTTTCTTTACGTCAGCGCTTGTAGCATCTTTTTTGCGGTGACAAACACATTATTTTGGAAATTCCTGCAAAAATCAAATACTTTTCAGATTTTAATTAAATTTTCAGCACCTATTCACATATGAATTAAATTATTTCTGAATTTTTTTTTTATTAGAAAAACTTGTGAAAAATATTATTTTTACATGTGTTTCACCCCCTCCTTACTTAATCTTATGAAAACTTGAAAAATTCAACGAGATAATTTTTAGTGACTAAGTTGAAATCCGAATTCTTTGAAAATTTAAATCACTGAAAATTTTTTTTGAAAAATAGGACCCAGTCTTACCGAAAATCTCTCGTGAATCAAGCAACAAATAACCCAATAAATCTAAGACATTATTTAATTAGAGAATGTTAAAATTGCTTTTATGAATAATACATATTCTGAAGAAAAAATGTTTTTTACATCCTTTTATAATTTTAAATTAAATAATTTATAATTTTTAAAAAAATTTTTAAAATTCATTTTCAGTGGAAATTATTGCTATTAATTAAAACTATATCTGCTATCCATATATTGTAAAGCTTATTACAATCTGAGGTTATCGAATATTTTTAAAAGAATTTCGATTTGTTTTGTGTGTGTGCTTACGTGCTGAATTTCTGAAGTATGGATGTCCAAACCGATAAATCTAGCATTTAAAGGTCACATGTTTATGGTTTGTTTCTCCTTACGACGAAAAATCTTTATTCTCTGCCTCACCATACTTAACTATATACACGTTCGGCTGTCAATCGAATGTAAATAAATCGATTAACACGGCCAGAAAAAAGACCCTGTAGTTAAGAAATGTTTCTATAAAACATTTTTTGCTATCAGTACGTAATATTTGTTTCAAATCAGATTCATTTCACTTGAAATTTGCTAATTCTCCTCAAATAACGTTTCGGAAATATACATTATATTTTTGCAAGATTTTTAAAATGGAGAATTATCTTTTTGTTTACAAAGGTGTCAAAAATTTCTGTTTTGCACAATCTTAATGAAAAAATCGATTCTGATCAATATGATTTCTGTTTGAAATACACCACATAGTAATTTGCTTACTGGAAATGGTAAATTTGAAATTCTTTAGAGTTCAGTTAAAACTAAAATGAAAGCTTCATTTGTAAAAAATCATTTTAATCGTAACGATTAAAATGATTTTAGAAATGCATTTAGTGAAGGTAACTAATTTAATTTATTTCTACTTTTTCTCATTCGGTATTACTTTTCGTTTTTTTTTTTTTGTTTTTCTAATGGATGAAATAACCTATAAACAGAAAGTATATTAAATAATTGTCAAACTGAATTAATTTCATCATAATTTGTCATAGATTACAGTAAAGCTACGTCTCGTGGGCAGACATAATCGGTCGAGAAAAATCGCCGAAGAAAGAATTTTAAAACAGTAATTTTGATTTTGCCAATCAGACGCTTCTTTGTAGCTAAATGGTATAGCACGTCAGACCAAATGACGGTTTCCGTTTAGAAATCCAGCTTCGATTGCTGTCGGAGAACGGATATTTTCTACGAAATTTCTCGAAAATCCAGGCCAGTTAATATAATTAATACTGTTTAATTAAAAAAACATCATTTACTGAAATAAATTATATCTTCAAACTTAACGTATATACAGGACACACACACACACACACACACACACACACACACACACACACACACACACACATATATATATATATATATATATATATATATATATATATATATGTATGTGTATACATGTGTGTGTATATATGGTGTAACAGCAAATTGCCCAAATCGTAACAGCATAAATGTCCATCCCATAAAATGTTTATAATCTAAAAAAAAGACTAAGCTATTTGAGTTTTTCTCTTCGTATGAGACGTTTAGACATCTTGACATCATTTGTTTTAAAAATCACTGAAAACGCTATTCTGTCTTTACAAGTAAGCAAGGCTGAGAGGAAAAAGATCCCTCCTGCCTTCAGTAAAGGGAGCAACATTCATGCTCTCGATTCCATCTCCAAAGTCCATTCAGGTACCATCAAGATATAGGTAAATAAGTTTTAAAAAGAGGGAAAACTGGATAAGGCTCTCACAAGACAAAGACGGATCATCATTTCAACTTCGATCTAAAGAGATCAGTTAGTAAATATCTAACTCAAATCAGAAGACGTTTTTGCACGTGAGAGAGGAGTTTTCACCTATGACAGTTCAAAGAGCAATCTAAAAAACTTGAAAATGACATCGTACGTGAAAACTTTGAGGCAGGTTGTCACACTAGGACAGATAGTTAGAAGGTTAGAGAGCACAAAGATCATTTTGAGTAAGTTGGAAAATGATCCTTGAATATATATATATATATTTGAAGTATTTTTTCAGCCCTTCAAGGGCTTCAGTTGCTTAGGTATGATCAATTCAGGATTAACATGTCATTTCCGTTTATGGTCGATTTCAACAGGATTCTTCCCTTATATCTTGGAGAATAATTATACATTGTTATTATTCAAAGTAGAGTACGATAGCGTTATAAACACTTCGGAAAATTCCAATAAGACATCATTAAACATTTCTAAGATACAACCGTTCAGAGCTTAATCTAACAAATGAACAATTTTGATTTTTACGATTTAGACAATTTTGCTGTTACACTTGGTATATATATATATATATATATATATATATATATATATATATATATATATATATATAAATGAAGAAAAATATAGTGTTAAGGTATGCAACGTCTATGGGATAAAGTACTCAATATCAGAGATAGAGCGTGTGTAAATATAAAAGTGAACATAGAAGTCAACACTTAGAAGCGACAGTCTGTTTCATACTAGACGCAATCATCAGGCCACGAGTACTGTTATTTTTATCGGGTATTTATATATACGTGTCAGAGATGCATTGTGGGTAGTCTATATTGGCGGTTATTTTGCCAGAAGTTTATTTGTTTATTTATTTATTTGGATTAAATTATTTTGGTTGTCATTATTTATTTTTTATTTTTATTTCTTATGTATTTATTTTTATATTTATTTTAATCATTATTTTTATTTACGTAGTAAAAATTTGTTTATATCGTTTATTTAATAGTTTTTTTTTTTGTTTCATAAGATAATGCTATTTATTCAGTTTTGGGGTTGATTGTTGTAGTTTATTGTTCTGGGGGGAACAGTTTTTAATTTCTTTATTACTCCATTTTATTTATTTGGATTGATTATTTTTATTTGTTTTTCCTAACGGTAAATTTATCGGGATCGGTTTGTCAGTTTATTTATTTGACAGAATTTAGTTTAATTTATTTTACTTGTCTTTTATTATTTATTTATTATACTGTATATTTTTTATTTACTCTTTTCGGTTTTCGATTTTTAAGTAACGTAGTAATTTTTTATCGTTATATAACAGTTATAGTTAGGTTTTTCGTTCGATTTTTGGTTTGATTTTTATAGTCTAATATTTTGGTCATAATGATTTGGTAATCTGTTTATTATTTAATTATTTATTTGGGTTCATTGATTTTGTTTTTTATTTATTTATTCATTCTATTTGGTCTATTTTAACGGATGTGATTTAGTAATATATATATATATATATATATATATATATATATATATATATATATATATATATAAAGATTTCTCCGATTTAACCAGTAGAGAAGACAATATTTATGAATAAAAATGACAATAGAAAACTGGTAATTGCTGACGCGTTTCTTCCAATGTGGACGTTATCAAAAGCAAAATACGAAAATGAAATTAATTGAACAAAGTAACTAATAAAAAACAAAAACAGAATGTACCTAGCAACTGGAATGTAGAGAAACGCTATTTTCACATTTTTAACTGAAAATAACGTCAGTATTTGTCACGTGTGAAGAATATTGTCATTATATCTGTGTTGAAATATTAATCTACGCCCAGGTTTTTCCCCATTTCACCTTTCTTAACAAAATTAATTCTCTTACAAACAAATATGCACAACAGATTCATAAAATCAAAAGAAAATGGTTGAATACATCAACACAGATATAATGACAATGTTCTCCACACCACGTGACAAATACTGACGTTATTTTTCAGTTAAAAATATGAAAATAGCGTTTCTCTACATTCCAGTTGCTAGGTACATTCTGTTTTTGTTTTTTATTAGTTACTTTGTTCAATTAATTTCATTTTCGTAATTTTGCTTTGATAAAGTCCACATTGGACGAAACGCGTCAGCAATTACCAGTTTTCCTATTGTCATTTTTATTCATATATATATATATATATATATATATATATATATATATATATATATATATATATATAAATAATTCTTTATACACTTTTCTTTTTTGCAAAAGAGCTTTAGATATTGTTGAGGTGAATGTGCATAAAATTTTTATTTCGTGTTCCTATGTAAGATTTTTGAGTTTTATATTCTTTTCCTGTTGAGCGCATACGTAAATGTTCCATATCCATGAGGAGTTCGAACTTTTTCCCTTGATGTCACGTTCAAACGGCAAGAGAATATAATACTTTCAAACCGTTGTCATATCAAAGACATTTTCAAAGCCGGACAGATGAGACATAACGTAAAGAGAGGATAAAATGAA